AAAAGATGAGAGAGGCCTGTAATTTTCATCATAGGTACACGTCAACTATGACAGACAAAATTTAGATTTTTTTCTTCCAGAAAATCACATTGTAGGATTTTTTATGAATTTATTTGCAAATTATGGTGGAAAGTAAGTATTTGGTCAATAACAAAAGTTTCTCAATACTTTGTTATATACACTTTGTTGGCAATGACACAGGTCAAACGTTTTCTGTAAGTCTCCACAAGGTTTTCAGACACTGTTGCTGGTATTTTGGCCCATTCCTCCATGCAGATCTCCTCTAGAGCAGTGATGTTTCGGGGCTGTCGCTGGGCAACACAGACTTTCAACTCCCTCCAAAGATTTTCTATGGGGTTGAGATCTGGAGACTGGCTAGGCCACTCCAGGACCTTGAAATGCTTCTTACGAAGCCACTCCTTCATTGCCCGGGCGGTGTGTTTGGGATCATTGTCATGCTGAAAGACCCAGCCACATTTCATCTTCAATGCCCTTGCTGATGGAAGGAGGTTTTCACTCAAAATCTCACGATACATGGCCCCATTCATTCTTTCCTTTACACGGATCAGTCGTCCTGGTCCCTTTGCAGAAAAACAGCCCCAAAGCATGATGTTTCCACCCCCATGCTTCACAGTAGGTATGGTGTTCTTTGGATGCAACTCAGCATTCTTTGTCCTCCAAACACGACGAGTTGAGTTTTTACCAAAAAGTTATATTTTGGTTTCATCTGACCATATGACATTCTCCCAATCCTCTTCTGGATCATCCAAATGCACTCTAGCAAACTTCAGACGGGCCTGGACATGTACTGGCTTAAGCAGGGGGACACGTCTGGCACTGCAGGATTTGAGTCCCTGGCGGCGTAGTGTGTTACTGATGGTAGGCTTTGTTACTTTGGTCCCAGCTTTCTGCAGGTCATTCACTAGGTCCCCCCGTGTGGTTCTGGGATTTTTGCTCACCGTTCTTGTGATCATTTTGACCCCACGGGGTGAGATCTTGCGTGGAGCCCCAGATCGAGGGAGATTATCAGTGGTCTTGTATGTCTTCCATTTCCTAATAATTGCTCCCACAGTTGATTTCTTCAAACCAAGCTGCTTACCTATTGCAGATTCAGTCTTCCCAGCCTGGTGCAGGTCTACAATTTTGTTTCTGGTGTCCTTTGACAGCTCTTTGGTCTTGGCCATAGTGGAGTTTGGAGTGTGACTGTTTGAGGTTGTGGACAGGTGTCTTTTATACTGATAACAAGTTCAAACAGGTGCCATTAATACAGGTAACGAGTGGAGGACAGAGGAGCCTCTTAAAGAAGAAGTTACAGGTCTGTGAGAGCCAGAAATCTTGCTTGTTTGTAGGTGACCAAATACTTATTTTCCACCATAATTTGCAAATAAATTCATGAAAAATCCTACAATGTGATTTTCTGGAGAAAAAATTTCTCAATTTGTCTGTCATAGTTGACGTGTACCTATGATGAAAATTACAGGCCTCTCTCATCTTTTTAAGTGGGAGAACTTGCACAATTGGTGGCTGACTAAATACTTTTTTCCCCCACTGTATCACTATTTCTAAAACAAGCCATAGAAAGTTGGTTGCAATTTCAATTTAATCCTCCAGAAACTACAGAACAAATAATGCAACAAATATTGTGGTTAAACTCAAATATACTAATTGATATAAAAAAGATATATATTTTTGACAAAATGTTTAAAAAAGGTATATTCTTCGTAAATTATATTATAAGTAGGACTGTTGGAGTTATGTTGCATATGCAGCTAACAAAAACATATGGAAATGTCTGCTCTACCCAAAATTACAACCAAATAATTGCATCATTACCGCAAAAATGGAAGAAGAAAGTGGAAGGGGGAAAAAGTAAGGAACTTGTCTGTCGGCCCTGCATTAAAGAACATAATTGGTCAAAGAAAATTGTGATAAATAAAAAAGTATACCAGTTTCATTTAACAACCAAAGGATTGACAGCCGTCCCATATAGATTGCAAAATAGTTGGGAAGAGATATTTGACGTACCGTTTCCATGGCATAGTGTTTATGAACTGATACGCAAAACGACCCCAGATTCAAAACTTAGAATTGTTCAATTTAAATTGCTACCAATATAATGTTATTTATATGGGGGATGCAATCTTCCCAGCTCTGCAGATTTTGCTGCGAAGAGACATAATCATTAGATCATTTGTTTTGGTACTGTCCATTTGTAGCTTGTTTTTGGACAAAGGTCCAGGAATGGCTAAAGGATTGCAATATTTACCTGGAGCTAACCCTGCAGATAGCACTACTGGGTGATCTGAAAAGTCATAGTCAATCGATCAATAATATAATAATACTTTTAGCAAAAATGTTTATTTTCAATGTACAATCTGTAGAAACAATGAGAATAGAAAGGTTCAGAACTTTTGTAAAACATCACAGTACAGTTGAGAAATATATGGCAAATAGAAATACAATATGGATGGTGTTAAGAGATAGATGGATGGTGTTGAATGAAGTTGAGGGATGGGACTAATAACAACTAACAACAACTAATAACAACAAGATAACTAATGTAAAGCATACTGTGTCCATAATAAGTACATAGGTTACAGGTTGAGAGCTTTTGTGAACGAGCACAGTTAGAAAGATATGGCATATAGAAGCAAACCCGATGGACATCATGAAAATGATCGGAGAGGTTGAGGGTAGAGGAAGTTCAGGAGTAAAAACAAACAAAATAGAATTATTGTAAAATTGACTGTGTCCATAAAATGTATATAGTATGTATAAGCTGGAAGTAGAGGCCTAAGCATTGTTGTTCACTAGTTTACTCCAATTAGGGAATGGGTGGTGGGGTTGGAAAGTAATAAAGGGAAATATATTTTTTTAAAGGGTAGGTATGTATGTATGTATGTATGTATGTATGTATGTATGTATGTATGTATGTATGTATGCATGCATGCATGCATGCATGCATACAGTGGGGAGAACAAGTATTTGATACACTGCCGATTTTGCTGGTTTTCCTACTTACAAAGCATGTAGAGGTCTGTAATTTTTATCATAGGTACACTTCAACTGTGAGAGACGGAATCTAAAACAAAAATCCAGAAAATCACATTGTATGATTTTTAAGTAATTCATTTGCATTTTATTGCATGACATAAGTATTTGATACATCAGAAAAGCAGAACTTAATATTTGGTACAGAAACCTTTGTTTGCAATTATAGAGATCATACGTTTCCTGTAGGTCTTGACCAGGTTTGCACACACTGCAGCAGGGATTTTGGCCCTCTCCTCCATACAGACCTTCTCCAGATCCTTCAGGTTTCGGGGCTGTCGCTGGGCATTATGGACTTTCAGCTCCCTCCAAAGATTTTCTATTGGGTTCAGGTCTGGAGACTGGCTAGGCCACTCCAGGACCTTGAGATGCTTCTTACGGAGCCACTCCTTAGTTGCCCTGGCTGTGTGTTTTGGGTCGTTGTCATGCTGGAAGACCCAGCCACGACCCATCTTCAATGCTCTTACTGAGGGAAGGAGGTTGTTGGCCAAGATCTCGCGATACATGGCCCCATCCATCCTCCCCTCAATACGGTGCAGTCGTCCTGTCCACTTTGCAGAAAAGCATCCCCAAAGAATGATGTTTCCACCTCCATGCTTCACGGTTGGGATGGTGTTCTTGGGGTTGTACTCATTCTTCTTCTTCCTCCAAACACGGCGAGTGGAGTTTAGACCAAAAAGCTATATTTTTGTCTCATCAGACCACATGACCTTCTCCCATTCCTCCTCTGGATCATCCAGATGGTCATTGGCAAACTTCAGACGGGCCTGGAAATGCGCTGGCTTGAGCAGGGGGACCTTGCGTGTGCTGCAGGATTTTAATCCATGACGGCGTAGTGTGTTACTAATGGTTTTCTTTGAGACTGTGGTCCCAGCTCTCTTCAGGTCAATGACCAGGTCCTGCCGTGTAGTTCTGGGTTGATCCCTCACCTTCCTCATGATCATTGATGCCCCACGAGGTGAGATCTTGCATGGAGCCCCAGACCGAGGGTGATTGACCATCATCTTGAACTTCTTCCATTTTCTAATAATTGCGCCAACAGTTGTTGCCTTCTCACCAAGCTGCTTGCCTATTGTCCTGTAGCCCATCCCAGCCTTGTGCAGGTCTACAATTGTATCCCTGATGTCCTTACACAGCTCTCTGGTCTTGGCCATTGTGGAGAGGTTGGAGTCTGTTTGATTGAGTGTGTGGACAGGTGTCTTTTATACAGGTAATGAGTTCAAACAGGTGCAGTTAATACAGGTAATGAGTGGAGAACAGGAGGGCTTCTTAAAGAAAAACTAACAGGTCTGTGAGAGCCGGAATTCTTACTGGTTGGTAGGTGATCAAATACTTATGTCATGCAATAAAATGCAAATTAATTACTTTAAAATCATACAATGTGATGTTCTGGATTTTTGTTTTAGATTCCGTCTCTCACAGTTGAAGTGTACCTATGATAAAAATTACAGACCTCTACATGCTTTGTAAGTAGGAAAACCTGCAAAATCGGCAGTGTATCAAATACTTGTTCTCCCCACTGTATATATATATATATATATATATATATATATATATATATATATATATATATATATATATATATATATTTACATTTTAGTCATTTAGCAGACGCTCTTATCCAGAGCGACTTACAGTTAGTGAGTGCATACATTTGTTTAACACTTTGTTGGTTACTACATGTTTACACATGTGCCACTGCATAGTTGATGTCCTCACTATTACTCCACAATGTAGAAAATAGTAAAAATAAAGAAAAACCCTTGAATGAGTTGGTGTCCAAACATTTGACTGGTACTGTATGTGAACAAATTTGACTATTACTAAAGACATTGTGTTATCATAGGTAGATTATGTTATATGGAGTTACTATACATAGTAGGGGTACATTGTTTGCATCTGTTGTCAAGCATCGATCACTGAAGGGAATGAATCCCCCTCCTATTCATTCATAGGTTTAACTCATTTACGTTTAGGACATCTAGGCAGGTGATTGGAGAGGTTGCTCTTGCGAGCAAAGTAAAAAAAGCAGTGAGGGCAGGAATACGGTTTCCCCTTGTGGATTTTCATGTGGACTTTAACGTGACTCCGTTCATAAAATCTCTTCCCACACTCTTGGCAGGAGTATGGCTTTACATCATGGTGAGTGTGGGTCCTCATGTGCAGGGTCAGAGAACCTGAACAGATAAACCGTCTGTGGCATTCAGAACATTCAAATGGCCTTTCCCCAGTGTGGAAGCCCTTGTGTTTGGCCAGATCTCTAGACTGAGTGAAGCTTTTACAGCACTTGGTGCAGGTGTATGGTTTCTCACCTGTGTGAGTGAGATTATGGTTCTTCAGGTGTGAGAGTCAAACTTCTTGTTGCACACTGTGCAGTGGTAGGGCCTCTCCCCGGTGTGTGAGCGCATGTGTAACTTCAACAACCCAAGCCTTATGAACTTCCGCCCACAAACCCCACAATGGTAGTTTTTCTGGTTGTTGTGTATATTCAGGTGCGTTTTCAGATAACATTTGTCAGCAAAGTCTTTACCACACACCGTACATTTGAAAGGTCTCTCCCCTGAGTGTACGCGCAGGTGAAGCTCCAGACTACCCCTGTATGCATACCGCTTGTCACATTGGGAGCAAGATAACTTTCTCTCACCAGAGTGAACAGTCATGTGATTCCTGAGAAGGTTTGCCTGGGCGAAAGCCTTCCCACAATCCTGGCATTTGAATTATTTGACCCCCTTGTGTATCAGCAGGTGTTTGCCTAAACTGCTGCCGTTCGAGAATCTTTTGCCGCACTCTTTGCATTCGTAAGGCTTCTCTCCGGTGTGGATGCGCATGTGAGTGTTCAGACTCGTAGGAGTAGTGAGGATCTTGCCACATTCGGAGCAATGGAAGCCGACTTCCAGACAGATCACAGGCTTAATGTCCTTAGGTTTAGTGCCCTCTGGTTCGTGACACTGGTGAGGCCCCAGTCCCCAGCAATTCTCAAAGCGTCCATCGATGCGAACAACGGCCATTTTGTGCAAATTCTTGCAGTGCTTCAGCAAGGTGCCCAGGTACGGGAATCTGCGGGCACACTGCGGGCAGGGGTGGAGTTTCCCCGGAACCCTGTGGGGATGGGCAGGTTTCCGGGGAAGGGCAGAGGGGTGGGCCTCGCAGGTGTGGATGTCTAGCTGTCGTGGTGTATGGAACATGTCGCTACAGTGGGGACAGCTGTGTGTGGGGCCGTACACTGTTTTACTCTTTGAGACTTGGCTTTTCAACATGGCCAGGTACTGCTTCTGGTGTTTGTTCTTGATGTGACTCTCCAGGAAGAAATAGTCAGTAAAGGAGATGGTGCAGTGTGGACAAGGGAAGAACTGAGGAGACAAAACTGAGGGAGGACAGAGAAGGGTGGGTGGATGGAAGAGAAAGAAGAAAGAAGGGTATGATGAGAGAAAGGGAACAGACAATAATGAGAAATGTCATTTTCCTCATTAAAAAATAAGGAAGAAATCCTTGCTGACATTTAATTCACCTTCAGTAATTCAGCACCCATTTAACCCGGTGAGAGCCAAGGATTTTTACATCACTTACAAAAATACCTCTAGGGGACTAATAACATATATATATATATATATATATATATATATATATTTGCGAGAGAAAAAAAACATATGGGGGATTGGAAGAGATGCAGACAATTACATTGATGGAAGTTACAATCTATCTGCAATATTAAAGCTGATCTACCCCCTAAAAAAATATATATATACAGTGGGGAGAACAAGTATTTGATAACCTGCCGATTTTGCAGGTTTTCCTACTTACAAAGCATGTAGAGGTCTGTAATTTTTATCATAGGTACACTTCAACTGTGAGAGACGGAATCTAAAACAAAAATCCAGAAAATCACATTGTATGATTTTTAAGTAATTAATTTGCACTTTATTGCATGACATAAGTATTTGATACATCAGAAAAGCAGAACTTAACATTTGGTACAGAAACCTTTGTTTGCAATTACAGAGATCATACGTTTCCTGTAGGTCTTGACCAGGTTTGCACACACTGCAGCAGGGATTTTGGCCCACTCCTCCATACAGACCTTCTCCAGATCCTTCAGGTTTCGGGGCTGTTGCTGGGCAATACGGACTTTCAGCTCCCTCCCAAGATGTTCTATTGGGTTCAGGTCTGGAGACTGGCTAGGCCACTCCAGGACCTTAAGATGCTTCTTACTCCTTAGTTGCCCTGGCTGTGTGTTTCGGGTCGTTGTCATGCTGGAAGACCCAGCCACAACCCATCTTCAATGCTCTTACTGAGGGAAGGAGGTTGTTGGCCAAGATCTCGCGATACATGGCCCCATCCATCCTCCCCTCAATACGGTGCAGTCGTCCTGTCCCCTTTGCAGAAAAGCATCCCCAAAGAATGATGTTTCCACCTCCATGCTTCACGGTTGGGATGGTGTTCTTGGGGTTGTACTCATCCTTCTTCTTCCTCCAAACACGGCGAGTGGAGTTTAGACCAAAAAGCTATATTTTTGTCTCATCAGACCACATGACCTTCTCCCATTCCTCCTCTGGATCATCCAGATGGTCATTGGCAAACTTCAGATGGACCTGGACATGCGCTGGCTTGAGCAGGGGGACCTTGCGTGCGCTGCAGGATTTTAATCCATGATGGCGTAGTGTGTTACTAATGGTTTTCTTTGAGACTGTGGTCCCAGCTCTCTTCAGGTCATTGACCAGGTCCTGCCGTTGTAGTTCTGGGCTGATCCCTCACCTTCCTCATGATCATTGATGCCCCACGAGGTGAGATCTTGCATGGAGCCCCAGACCGAGGGTGATTGACCGTCATCTTGAACTTCTTCCATTTTCTAATAATTGCGCCAACAGTTGTTGCCTTCTCACCAAGCTGCTTGCCTATTGTCCTGTAGCCCATCCCAGCCTTGTGCAGGTCTACAATTTTATCCCTGATGTCCTTACACAGCTCTCTGGTCTTGGCCATTGTGGAGAGGTTGGAGTCTTTTTTATTGAGTGTGTGGACAGGTGTCTTTTATACAGGTAACGAGTTCAAACAGGTGCAGTTAATACAGGTAATGAGTGGAGAACAGGAGGGCTTCTTAAAGAAAAACTAACAGGTCTGTGAGAGCCGGAATTCTTACTGGTTGGTAGGTGATCAAATACTTATGTCATGCAATAAAATGCAAATTAATCACTTAAAAATCGTACAATGTGATTTTCTGGATTTTTGTTTTAGATTCCGTCTCTCACAGTTGAAGTGTACCTATGATAAAAATTACAGACCTCTACATGCTTTGTAAGTAGGAAAACCTGCTAAATCGGCAGTGTATCAAATACTTGTTCTACCCACTGTATAAATAAAAATAACAACATATGAACCGGCTGAAAATGAATATCAGAGGCGTTGAAGATGTTTTTGTAAAATACCACTTCTACATGCAACTGGTCTACAACAACCAATCGAAGATATCAAGGGATTTTCTCATGTTATTATCTCAAAGGAGTGGGAAAGGAGTCCACCATTGAGTGAGAATGGAGAAATATATGTTCAGATACAACATTTTATGTTGTGGGAATAATGGTTGGCTAATGGATAAGACGAGGGGTTGTAGAAAAGGTGGTGACTCGGATGAGACATTGCAGTTGTGACATTGTCAGAGGCAATTCATTTTGAACTATGAAGCTGTCTGAAGAACATAATGAAGAGACACCAGAAGATTTAAGTGCCGGGAGAAATAAAGGGGTTACTTAGCTGTGTTGATAATAAAATTGGATTTATCTAAATTTGCTAATTTGGGTAGTAGGTATATACAATGATAAATTAATAGTATTAAGAATGCATTGAGATAATGATCTGTATTTATTATCAGGATGAGGAAAGTCATAATTGAATTATGGATGTTTATACTGTATGTTAATATAAGTGTACATTAGGACAGTTGTAATGGGTGATAAAGTTGAGGGTTTTAATTTTCATTGATAAGGATCAAGTGAATCAATAAGGATTGTCATTTTAAATTTGGTTGAGTTAAGTAATTTGGTTGGTTATAAGTTATAAGATGGATGAGTGATTTAAGTGAATCATTAGTATGTATTAGTATAGACTGTCTTATATAGATATTATGGGTTAAAACAGTGATACATTATGGTAATGTCTTAGGATACACTTATATGATTTATTTTGAGTAGACATTGTTGAATCATACTGTTTCAAACATGGAAGTTGAGGTGAAGATTGTGAATGAAGTCGTGAATATGTTGATTAATTGGGTTAACGTATTAGCATATTGGTCATTATATACATTTGAGGTATTGGGTGATATTGATATGGTTGTTTAGAGTGGTACATATCTATGTTGATAGGCAAGTATTTAATTGATTCCTATCATGGGGTTATGATATTTTCATATGATCTGAATTTGGTTGAATTATTAAAGCATGAATAGTTTAGGGATGTAATGATTTAACGGGGAGTGAGAATAGAGTGTTATAATGTGTATGTCATATCAGGAATAATAGGAGGACAAAGTCGGAGTTGAACATTGTATATTTTAACAATCATGGGTTTGTAAGCAATTGGGTCTGAGATGTTACTCATTAGACTATGTAAGTGATAATCACATGGCATTGGATGCTATTATAGTAGATAAAGAGGGAATGTATGTGATTATATGGGAAATATTAGAGACATATAGGAAGGTATTAGGAGTTATTTTTATATTCATATGTTCAGATTGTAATATCCATGTAACTTAGTAATGGGCAGGGATCTTTGTATTTGTGGGAATGATGTCATGATGGTCACCATTTATTTATATGTATGTTTTCTTGGTAGCATGTCTCAGAAAAAGGGGTCATTTTAAAATGGGGGATGTCTATGTGGGTTTTGAATACATATATTATTAGCATGAATATATAGTAGTTAATTATGTGTTTATCTTTTATTCAGACTGAGGTTATAGAGGTTTGAGAGGTTTGATATCGCATAAGATAGATGACTGAGAATTTATACCTTTGTTGATTAAATATATTGAGAATCAGGTTTGGATTCAGGTATAGAAGGTAGAAGGGGGTGAATTCTCAGTTTTCTAGCATAGTTTAGGCTCTAGTCATATATACTACTGATTGGAGAATATTGTATTTTACATGAAGTTATGTGAATCCTTGGGGGTTAAGTTATAACACTTACCGCAAAAAAAAGAAAAGTGGATTGTAATGATGTCATAGCATTGTGTGGACCAGGGAAGAGTTACTAGATAATTGGATTGGAGCCATGGAGTCTACATTCCGTTATGTCAAAGGAGATTACTGAGGTTGATATTAGAATAATTGATGGGACAGGATATATGACTTGAACATCAAAGACAGGGAGTGCCCATGGAGATTTAACAGATGTATGCCAAGAAGATGATAACCAAGTGTATATATAGAGAGAGTGTCTCCTTTGTTCAAATCAGTTCGTAACACCAAGGGCAAAGCTCTGGTCATTGTTGTAACGAACCCGGTACCTATCATTAAACATTTGCATTAACTTTCTACAAAGTGTCTAAGTATATCCTTGCATCCTTGATTCTTTGATACCCAAGAAACTCATCATAACAGCCACTGTACTTATATGGTTTGAATTTAACATTTTAAAAGTGTGTGTGTTTAAGCCTGGATGTTGTTTTAATGTTTGCCTCAACCATCCTTTCCACTGTGTTGCGACCGACTTTTTAAACTAAAAGATGTGTGTGTTGCTACAGAAAATGTGTGCACCAGCTGAGAACACATTGCACATTGTCTTTGTAATCTTACCAGTGATATAGCATATTTCAGATGTTTGTATTTCTATGTAGGATATTAATGAAAAATATATTTTTTTTGGTAAAAATCAATAAATAATGCATATTGACTCTTGATCTTTATAAACTAACCACTGCTATTTTGTTCCAATTCAGTTTAATGTTTAATGTCCCCTTTCACACAGGTCCATCTCTCTCTTTCCTTCTCTCGTCCCCCCTCTCTCACACATACACTGTATCAAATGCAGAAATTAGAATTCTGTCACATTTGAAAATATTTTAATAAATATATTACAATTCATATAGCATAGCCTGTGCATGATTCATTATAAATAATTATACATGATCAATAGAATATACGCTACATATTTAATTAATAGTGTAATATAGCATTTTGTCAAATAATCTACAGACAAAGCAATGTGCTCGTTAAACTCAAGAAACACGAGCTTACCTTAGCTATATGATCATTCATTAACAATCTAAGAATAAAGGAATCTAAAATGCTTTATCAAATCGACTGCCACTAATTCTCCAAATTGAACAGTTGATTTCCCTTTTACTCGAGGGAGACACCGCAGGAATTGCTTTCAAATTCACATTTCACCCCGCTAATGCTGTCCACGCTTGGCTGACTGTTAACTCTCTGGTGTGCGTGAGAAAAGGGGAAAGTCTCAGACCGGGACATCCTCCCTCTGCCCTGTGAGGAACCGGAGGAACAGTTAATTACCAGTCTCATGAACTCAGGGGCGGTGAATCGCCGCAGTAATCTGGTCCCCAGCCCGGTGAACCCCGGTGGACGGACAGGAATCTTCTCCGGCTCTATCTCTTCTCTGTAGAAGAGGAGTTTGTTGAGTCTCCCGTTCGGAGGGAGGCTGCCGCGCTTCTCACTCCCTCTCCTGCTTGATTGAGCGATGGCATTATTTTCATCTTTTGGCGCCCTGGTGGAATCCTCGGGCGCTCTCGGAGATTGACTTTTGACGTTCAAAAGTGGTTTTGGCGCGGTGACAGTTTTGTCAGCATTGTTTGTCACCTCACAGGTGCTCTCTTGACATTCAATCTTGGCTATCAGGGATCTCTCGTCCTGCAGCGAGGCTCTCTTTAATTTCCTGGCTGATAGGCTCATGTCACACACATCACCATGATAGGACTGCTTTCTGCTGCTCAGGAGGTCCAGGTTAAATGACTTTGCTTTGCCCCAGACTGGAATACTATCTGGCACCTCCTGTTTCATTCCTCTGTTTCTGCTGACATCTTTCTGGCTTGGCTCTGGGCGATGGCTCATTGTTTTAACCCCCCTCATGTGCCTTAGCTTACAGTTCTGTGACTGTATCTGTTTGGCTGTGAATATGTCATCCTGTTCTTCTTCCGACTGGGCCCTCTCTAGGGGATTGCCATTTCTCTCTAGGGACTGATTCTGGCATTTGATGCGCGCCCACAGCTCATTGCTGTCCCCGACCCTCAGCTGTCTCTGGAACACCTTAGGCAGCTGGTCTTCATCCGTGCTATGGAACTGTTTAGAGAACCTCTCCAGAACTTGCCTGGTGAGCTTGTTTGGTTGCGTCCGCTCTGTCCCGGCCTCCTTCCCGATCCCGACCTCCCCTAGTTGGTCATCTGACACCACCCCCCTCCTCCCAGAGTTCAGGGCCTGGACACACTGGTCGTGCCCAAAGAAGTTGGCCACCTGGATGGCAGAGTGGCCAGCCTGGTTGGTGCGGTCCAGCCTCATGCCCATTCTTTTGAAAGCCCTGACCAGGAACTCCAGCACTTGGCTGTGGCCGGTGTAGGCTGCGTACATCAGGGCGCTGTTCCCCCAGGTGTCAGACACATCAGGGTTGGCATTGAACTGCACCAGAAGTTTGACTATGTCCAGGTGGCCCAGCTCACAGGCCAGGCTCAAGGACGTGCGCCCGTACTCGTCCTGGCAGTTCACATCAGCATCTTTCTCCAGCAGCAGACGGGTAAACTTGGCCCTGGCCACGGGGTCCTGCAGGCAAACTGCGAACATCAGAGGGGTGCGGCCGTTCTCTGTCTTGGAGTTGATGATGCGGTTGTCCAGCGCGTCCAGGACAAAGCGTGCCAGGTGCACTTTGCCACTGTGCATGGCATCCAGGAAGGTCTTGGTACCAGAGCCCTGGCGCAGATCCTTAGGTCTCATCATACTTAACAGTAAGTTCTGGAGGTGAGCCTCAAACTGTGTTCTGAGATAGGAAGAGAGAGTGAATCAGGGCCCTGTCTGTGTTGACAGTGAGTGTATTTACCTCAGAGTGAGCCTCAGCGAGGAGCTGCCGGTGTTTTTATACCTCTCTCTTGACACGTGTTGCCAAGGAAACAGCCATCTGAGGATCATTATGCTGCTGCAGCCTCCATTCAGAATGACCTGCCTCCGCCAGAAGAAAATATAATCTATTTCAACTGAATAATTACTCAAGGAGAAAAACATGACCAGTGTTTGTCATGTGTGCCAGGTAAAAGTGGCTGCAAAATAGGTGCTTAAATCAGTCTATTTTTTCCCCAGGTTACCATTCTTTCACACACTGCTCTAATTAACTTTACTAGACTCTCTCACATGGATCAAAATAGAAAGCTTGGATTCTCCATTTATGTCAGCCAATCCTGCATGTTATAAAAGTTATAAATACAGTGGGGGAAAAAAGTATTTAGTCAGCCACCAATTGTGCAAGTTCTCCCACTTAAAAAGATGAGAGAGGCCTGTAATTTTCATCATAGGTACACGTCAACTATGACAGACAAAATGAGCATTTTCTTCCCAGAAAATCACATTGTAGGATTTTTAATGAATTTATTTGCAAATTATGGTGGAAAATAAGTATTTGGTCAATAACAAAAGTTTCTCAATACTTTGTTATATACCCTTTGTTGGCAATGACACAGGTCAAACGTTTTCTGTAAGTCTTCACAAGGTTTTCACACACTGTTGCTGGTATTTTGGCCCACTCCTCCATGCAGTTCTCCTCTAGAGCAGTGATGTTTTGGGGCTGTCGCTGGGCAACACAGACTTTCAACTCCCTCCAAAGATTTTCTATGGGGTTGAGATCTGGAGACTGGCTAGGCCACTCCAGGACCTTGAAATGCTTCTTACGAAGCCACTCCTTCGTTGCCCGGGTGGTGTGTTTGGGATCATTGTCATGCTGAAAGACCCAGCCACGTTTCATCTTCAATGCCCTTGCTGATGGAAGGAGGTTTTCACTCAAAATCTCACGATACATGGCCCCATTCATTCTTTCCTTTACACGGATCAGTCGTCCTGGTCCCTTTGCAGAAAAACAGCCCCAAAGCATGATGTTTCCACCCCCATGCTTTACAGTAGGTATGGTGTTCTTTGGATGCAACTCAGCATTCTTTGTCCTCCAAACACGACGAGTTGAGTTTTTACCAAAAAAGTTCTATTTTGGTTTCATCTGACCATATGACATTCTCCCAATCCTCTTCTGGATCATCCAAATGCACTCTAGCAAATTTCAGACGGGCCTGGACATGTACTGGCTTAAGCAGGGGGACACGTCTGGCACTGCAGGATTTGAGTCCCTGGCGGCGTAGTGTATTACTGATGGTAGGCTTTGTTACTTTGGTCCCAGCTCTCTGCAGGTCATTCACTAGGTCCCCCCGTGTGGTTCTGGGATTTTTGCTCACCGTTCTTGTGATCATTTTGACCCCACGGGGTGAGATCTCGCGTGGAACCCCAGATCGAGGGAGATTATCAGTATGTCTTCCATTTCCTAATAATTGCTCCCACAGTTGATTTCTTCAAACCAAGCTGCTTACCTATTGCAGATTCAGTCTTCCCAGCCTGGTGCAGGTCTACAATTTTGTTTCTGGTGTCCTTTGACAGCTCTTTGGTCTTGGCCATAGTGGAGTTTGGAGTGTGACTGTTTGAGGTTGTGGACAGGTGTCTTTTATACTGATAACAAGTTCAAACAGGTGCCATTAATACAGGTAACGAGTGGAGGACAGAGGAGCCTCTTAAAGAAGAAGTTACAGGTCTGTGAGAGCCAGAAATCTTGCTTGTTTGTAGGTGACCAAATACTTATTTTCCACCATAATTTGCAAATAAATTCATTAAAAATCCTACAATGTGATTTTCTGGATTTTTTTTCCTCAATTTGTCTGTTATAGTTGACGTGTACCTATGATGAAAATTACAGGCCTCTCTCATCTTTTTAAGTGGGAGAACTTGCACAATTGGTGGCTGACTAAATACTTTTCCCCCCCACTGTAGTGTATCATATTATGACCCATACATATGCATCTTCTCTTACCAAAGGTTTCAGAAGAGAATATACTATAGTCTGGTTAGAAGCACTGCTTTATTAATAGACTTAACATTTGCTTTTTAAGACTGAATGGGAACACCGCCCTACCACTAAAACACTGCCCTACCACTAAAACACTGCCCTATCACTATAATACAGTGCCAATAAATTGTGGTACTATTTACATACTGTAGCGACTCCCCTCTGCTCCCCCGTGCCAGGAAACCTGGCCCTCTCACTGCCTTTGATCACTTTGATCTTTGTAATCAGTGACAAGAACTCTGTTTGTAGGACAACATCTATTCTTTTTCCACTTAACCTGTTCCATGCTGTGATACTAATAATATCCATGTCCTGTCCATGTGTCAGGAGAGAGGTTTCTGAATATAGCAACCTTGATAAATAGTATTGAGGATAATGTTTTTTTCATGCTTTCGTTGTCCTTTTGAAGTGTTTTGCAACCAACTGTTTTGTATATCACTGTTATTTTCTCTTTTTCATATACGTAGTTCATTCATTTGATGGTGTTGTTCCAAAAACATTCTTCATGTTCCCCTCAGCAATCCCTTTTAAGTTGATTGTTTCAGGTTCAACAGCATTGACCTGTAGGAACGCAGCAGCCAGGCTCCTGGAAGAGGAGATTTGGAGGAGAGGATGGATCAGCCATAAGTAAACTGTCATTAACCTGTGACCATCCCAAAAATGTGCCCACTGATTTAGCTAACCACCAGCAGCATAACATGTACCTAACACATTAACATAACTTATCTTGAATTATAGAACGCAGCCATCCCCTCCATGCCCTATGATCATTTTAATGATGTTGTAATTACTAATATAAAAAACAGCAGGAGCAACGCCAGACCCAGATAGTGTAGGTGAGAGAAGCAGCACTTCCTTACTGTCCTCATGTCTCTTCACCAAAACCCACAGCACGTCTCTGATGAGCCAGATCCCTTATCTCACTATTACACGTACAATTCCCATTCAGATAGATTTGATCAGAGGCAATGTGACACAAATCGGACTGAAACTTACCCATGCAGTGACTGATGAACTTTTCTGACAGTAAGAGTTAGTTATATATTATATCATTGTAGTACAGGTATGTAATAATGTGGTCTTAGCAAAAACCTCAATAAATGTTTTAATAATGCCATGAGATATTGGTTCTACATTCAACCCTCTTGATTTCAAGGATACATTTCCCCCCTGTCTACCCACAATAACCGATCCCAAGCTGCAGTGTGTGGGTAAAATCACTGAGGAAGCCAAGCCAAGCCACTAAAAAAGCCATATTACAACCTATGTTGTGATATTTGAGTTGTTTGCTCTATAACCCATTCATTCATATGCCACCGTGATATACAATAAGGCCGTTACAACAAAAAGACAACAGTCACACAGTGGCAGAATAAATTCAACTACACATACGTAGTTTGTTTCATTACAAAACCGAAGAGCAACATCTGTCCGGTGAAGTCCACAAAGCAAATATTGCATGTAACAAACAGTTATATCACGTGCAGCATGGTCAAGCAGGTTAATGTTTTTGACAGTTTACTAAACAACAACAACTGATTTAGAACCACTGAGTTACCGCAAGTCACAGGAGCACTGCCTCCGCTATTCCAGCATCATTTCAACTTAAACATTTAAACATCATCAAATCAACAAGGCTATATATGCTTAGTTTAATACACTGAAAACAAACTTTAAGATACCAAAAACAATTTAGTCCAATAAATGTTGCTAAATATCAAGTGGCTGTCCATGGTACTGATTTCTGTCTGTATGTGTGACTGTATTATTCTTTTTTGACTCAGCCTACTTGTAGACTAGTTGAAAGCCAATGCCATCCTCTTCTCTTTCATGTTGGCAAAACGGTCTATGGCTCTGTCATACAGTACACTTTTAGTTTTTGTTGTCATAGGCTACCTAGCTAAAATGCTTGCAAGCCTAACTTCCTCGCATTGGCAACAATGAACCACAGAACCAGCTAGGTTAGCTAGCTAGCTAGTTAACGTGAGCCTCTAGGCTACATCTAGGCTACATATTGAATTTGAATCATCTCAGGCCAGTGGCACAACATATTCATTTATGGTTAGATCAGAATCGCAGTCATAATCACTGGCCTGTACAGAGAAATAAGTCAAAACCACAAGTCCAAATCCCCATCTCCATCCATGGTTTAGGAAAGGGCCACTTTAGCAATGTAGCTAGCTACTGCAGAACATCAACACAAGCAGACCAAGAAACAGACACCTCTTTCTGAAAATGATGTTTTGCTAAGGAAGTTATTTCATTGGTCTGAAGCCAAATCCAAACTGGCCTCCTTTGGAGGGCGTTTCGCTGCACCAGGACAACCCATAGTTGAGCTCAGCTCAACGCTGATTGGCTAATTATCTTGTAAAAAAAAAAATCAAGGGAGGCCAAATGCTTGCTGGCATTAACCAATAAAATGCTACGGCGGCCACATGTCACACTCTTTTGGTCCAGACAGCATCAGATACATGAGCTACACATACTGAGACAGAGGAGTGTTATTTCCGGTGAGATTCAGCCACTTGCGAATTCACTGAAAATTATGAAAACAGAGAGAACAATTTACAACAATTTATTGGTCAAATATTTGGGGAAGCCTGACTTGGCATCCATGAATAGGCCTACACGCCACTGAACTCAACTCCAGAGGATCTGTGTCTATTTTCCAAAGCTCAGACTGAGTGGTGTGTCCTTAGGGACATCTGATATATCACCTTAGCTACAGGACAGCCAGTGTTTCCGCTTCACTCCACCATCCTACTTTAATTACTGCTAACGCACGCTCTCCATAGCAATGTGCCAGTGTGTTTATGATGCAGCCTCTGTCTCCTCCAATGCTGAT